TGCAGTGGGCTCCCTTGGGCCCTTGGGCCAGCCTGGGCTCTCGCCCTGCTCTGCCGCTTGCTGGCTGGTGACCCTGAGCCCGTGACTTGCCCTCTGGATCTCGGGCTTCTCAGCTCTACAATGGGAAGGATCCCAGGTGTCCTGAGCTCATGGGACGGTGTAGGGTTATCTGGTGTCATGTGCGTGAAAGCTCAGAGGAGCGCCTTCCCACAAAAGCTGCCCACTAGTTGGCTGAGCAGAGGGACATGCTAAGGAATAGATAGCTAGTGATGACGTCCTCAAAGAGCTTGGAAATCCGAGGAAAGGGGCGTCCCTCCCGCATGACAGGAGATGGGTCAGCATCACCCACCTCACCATCAATAACTTCTCTAGAGCTGCCCAGAGCAGGGCATGGCTGCCCATCTGTGGGGAAAGGGCTTTTGTCCAGTGCTCCTCCTGTCTGCAGGGGCTGGGAAATTGCACTGTCTTTTCAAAGCCCCTGAGTCAGAGCCAGGAAATGGGGTGTCCTTCCTCTACCACCTCATCCTTCTAATTCTGGACAAGTTACTTTCCACCCCTGCGCCTTCGGTCTTCGCTTCTAGTCTGAATGTACAGGCTGCTGGGGAGGTGCATTAGCCTCTTAGGGCCGCCATACAAAACACCACGGGCTGGGGGCTGAAACAACAGGAATTTATTTTCTCACAGTTCTGGAGCCTGGATGGCTGACGTCAGGTGTTTGCAGAGGTGGTTTCTCCTGAGGCCTTTCTCCTTGGCATGTAGACGGCTGCCTTCTCCCTGTGTCTTCACATGGTCTCCTTCCCTCAGTCCGTGTCCTCATTTCCTTTGCTTGAAGGACACCGGTCATGAAGGGGATGGGCCTGCTGCTCTGACTTGGCTGAGGGCCCATTAGGTGGGGAATTTAAAAATAAAGTCGGGATTTATTATTATTTTTTTTAGAGCACACCTCTCTGATGTTCTATGCCTGTCTACTGCTGGCAGGGGGCAAATAGTGGAGAGCTAAGAATTTTTATTTGTTTGTTTGTTTGTTTGTTTGTTTGTTTTTTAGACTATAATGACATTGAGTGGAAAATAGACTCGGTAAATCTCCTCAGGCCACATATTGTTAAGGGTTTTAGGACATCATCTCTGTTGTATGGGTTTTGCTTTTACTGGTCACATGTCCAGTGTTACACATGTCATCTCATGAAGAAGGGCACATCTGTCCTGAGCCACTGGGCTGCTTGCACTGTCTTACAAAATAGCCTTTCAGGATTTCTCCAATTAGACAAAATCAAGCAAAAGCAGCAGGATCAACAGCCCTAAAGAGGGAGAAAGAACTACTTGGTTCCAGAGATAAGACAAGTAAAAAGCTCTCTTGAAAATTCCATGGCCATGCTCACCCCTGTCTACTTTCAGAGCTGCACAGCTCTGCCTGTTGGGGTCTTTCCTCTGTCTTCTCTCTGCTTGTGCTCAGGCTCCTGCATCCCACAAATGCCATCACCAGTTGTGCATTCTGAGTGGCGGTCTGGTGGCTCTCTGTCACTCAAAATGTCCCTGTGACCAGGGTTAATGACTGTGAGCAAGGACTTGCTAGTTGGCACCTACCTTCTGGGGAGAAGCAGACAATGGCTCTCAACCCATGTGCGGTCGCCTGCCACCTTTGACTCTCCAAGTCCTCTGCCTTCTGACCTGCTCTGCTCTTCTGGTTAATGGCAATTATAAATGTCCAAGAGGCACGTGGCCGCAGCTAATTGGGCAAAATGATTAAGTTTTTTCTTCATTATACAGCAATGTGTATTCCAAGAGCATAAATAATGAATTTAAGAAGAAAAAATTAAGAATGAAACTTAATGAAGGTTCAAAAGAAAACATTTAATTCTGGATTGGGGGGGCGGTTCTGGTTGCAATTTTGGATATTTTTGATGGATGAATTTGCTTTGGGTGGGGGATGGCGAAGGCTCAGGTGTATGGGGCGGGGAGGGCGGACTACAGCTGCAGTGCAGAGAGGCTAGATGGCTTGCAAGCACAGAGCAAAAGCTCAGGAAAGTCTAGTCATGAGAAACCCTCAAAGAGCTTTCAGAGAGGGGGCAGGCATGCTGGGAATCCTGGGGCTCATGGCACTTAGCATTTAGAAATGATTGTGAGACATCCTTGCCTACAATACAGGTCTACAGAGCATTGCAGTCTCAGTGACTGGAACTAGCAAACTATATATATATATATATATATATATATATATATATATATATATATATATATACACACACACACATACACACACACACATACACACACACTATGCAGATGTCTACAAGTTTTATACATTTATATCTATGGTTTATACATATTACACCTTTTTAAATCCATGCTGATCAGAATAAACTCATATGGGGAGAAGGGTGACCCACTACCAGTTTTCCCAGTCTCTATCCATGGTCAACTTTCCCACGTTGCTATGGGAACAACTCCCTGGCGGCCCATCGGGGAAGGGAAGGCTTCCTGAAGCTATAGGCAGTGCCCAGCTCAGGCCAAGGCATCCTTTCAACCCCCTGTGAAAGTTGAGCACCAATGGAAGATGAGGTTGCCCTTGTACTCAAGCTGCAGCTAAGTGCTCTCTTCTGGAGCGGGGAATAACCTATGACTTTCTCTTTTAAACAACACGAGGTCACCTTAAATAGCCGTGTTTTTGTCAAAAGATGTTGGAATATTTATATAGGCTTCTTGAAAAGGACCACATAGCACTCTTGGCATGTTGACTGGCCTGCAAGGTGCTTCTGGGTGAGTGTGTGTGTGTATGTGTGTGTGTGTGTGAAGGTGAGATGGTGGGAATAGGCTGGAAGGAAGGCATCATCTCCTTTTTATCTTCTTTTTTTTAAGAAAGCTGAGGCACTGAGAGTGTGATGTGCCCATCATCTCCCACAGAAAGAATCCGTGTAGTAACTCGTACCTGAGTGCTCTCGAGGGGAGGACATAAGGCATGATGAGAGATGCTAGCACTGCTCTCGTGCTAGGCGTGCCGAGGCTGGTAGGCAGGGATTTGAGAGGAGGACGGGCAGAGGGAGAGGTGGTGTTATGCTAGGTCTGGCTCATTAGCCCTCCCCCACTGCCTCTGGCTTCCTGCCTAACCCGGGATCGTCCTCAAGCTTGAACCCAGTTCTCCTTATTTGGTGACCTTATTTGACCTTAATTCCATAGCTACATGCGATACCACGATACTTGAAGTTTCCTATGAAGGCTAAGGAGCTTCCCTGTGGTGGTGATGGTCCATGGAGTGAGGCACCAGGAGGGAGGTGTCCCCTCCTCCATGGCTCTTTGTGCCTGCCTGGTTTGGCCGTTGTCACACAGGAGGTGGATTAGGGGACAAGAAGAATTCCTGCCGGGCATGGGGTACTGAAGGAATTTCCTTTCTTATTCTTGCCCCTGACTACTTGGTGTGTTTTAGAGCAGTACTGAACTTCCTTCTCTTTGGGTCTGTTTCTGGTCTTGAAGAAGAATCAATAAATATGCCCTCAAAGTCTCTGTTAAGAAGAAAAAAATGCCATGACAAAGCACTCTGTTTTTTTTTTTTAAATTTTTTGGCAGCTTTTCCCTTCCCCTGCAGCACAGGTTTGTTGACTGTCTCACTTGGTGAGTTGAGTTGGCGCAGGTAGTTCCTTGAGCTACTGGAATCAGCCTGTTGTCCCCCCACTCTCCCCCACCTGTCCCCATGTTTAGTTGCTCCCAGGGAGTGCTACAAAACACACCGAGGTTGAGAAAAACCCACAGATGGGCCTCCAACGTGTGACAGGTTTGGAAACACAGGAGACTGTCTTGCCAGTAAGTGGCGGTGTCCTGGGTATGGTGGGCGTGTGTGAGATCCATGTGGCAGGAGGGCAGGGCAGAGAGGATGGAGGACCAATGACAGCATTCCAGATCCCAGTCCTGCTCTGAAGAGCTCCTGCAGACCAGGCAATCCGCTCTGAGGTGGCACAGGACCGTCTGGTTCCTCTCAGCTCAGCGTGCAGTGCTGCTGGCTGGCAGGTCCTGTGCACAGGAGCTCGGGCAGAGGACGAAGAGGAGAGGAAGCGATGCAGGAGGAGCTGAGCCAAGCAGAGGAACGAGGAGAGCTATGAGAGGCCAGACATCAGAAACGAGAATGCAGATAGCAGTCTATGAGGAAGTGAAACGGTGGGGTAGGGTAAAGAGGTGACTCGGAGGCTGAATATGTGGGTCTCACCCTTGTGAGCTGGGGAGCCTAACCAAAGGGGTTTGCCCTCGTTGGGCCTTCATTTTATCATATTTTAAAAATATATTTTTATTGATCTCAGAGAGGAAGAGAGAGAGAGAAACCTCAATAATGAGAGAGAACCACCGATCCACTGCCTCCTGCACGCACGCAACCCTGGCATGTGCCCTTGACTGGAATCGAACCTGGGACCCTTCAATCCACAGGCCAATGCTCTATCCACTAAGCCAAACCGGCTAGGACCATTTTTATCATCTTTAAAAGGGAGCCTTCCCTACATCACAAGGATATCATAAGGATTAAATGAAAACCCCATCAGCCAAAACTCATGCCAACACATGACTTGTCCAATAGTGATTTACCGAACAAATTTGGCTGAAGAAAGAAAGAGACAGGTGAGCAGAACACAGAGCACAGAGAAAAGATGGATACCCAGGGTAAGCGAGAGGGAGCTGGGCAGAGAAGCAAGAAAGACCCAAATGGTGATGGTGTTGGCAGAGCACTTGACTTGCTCAGAAATGCAAAAAGAGTGACAGGGTCCAACGAGGAGCAGCAGTGCCCAAGCTTGAGATCCCAGTGTGCAGCTGGCGGGTGGGCAGCAGAGACAGGAGGAGGGTCAGCAGGGAAGAAAGCCCAGGGTAGAGGTGGGTGAGAGGAAGTCCAACACCCGTTTGTTTTAGGGAGAATGAAGGCATGGGTAGGAGGTTGCAGATAGATGAGTAAGTGTGGATGCACTAGAGTTGAGGTAGATTAGCTTCAAAAGGCCATCTCAGAGAGAGACTTACTTTTTCCCCCCCTCTGAGCTCAATTCTTTGGTTCAAACTGGAAGTTTAATCACATGAAAGGTTGACTGGAGAAAGAGTTCTACCTCTAACTTCACGAGAAGGCAGGTCAAGCTTCTGTCACTCAGTGTGCTGAGAGAGAAAGGAGGAGTTTCTGGAAGGAGGTGACCACATTGTTCCGCCTTTCAGGAAAGGTGCCGGTGAAAATGGAATGGCTGTAGTTGATTTAAGGGGTAAAAGTTAAGGGGCAAAGGACGACTGAGGTTGAAAGGGCTTCTCTGGGTAGTCCTTTTGTTCCTGGGCAAGACGTCGCCGCTGATGGGTTCAAGGCGAGTGGGAGGGATGATGGATTGTGGATGAACCTATGAAGAATGAGGCAAAGCAGCATGAAACCATTTGTTTGGGCTTTATAGATTTTCTAATAAAAACGTCAAGGTTTTCTCACACCATTTCGAAAATGTCATCAAATGCAAAGCAGCTCTTATGCCAGCGACAAAGGCTGCATTTCCAATGGTAAATTCCAGCCCAAGAGGCAATAAAATAGTTGGTCAGGTTTTCCTCCAGTTCAAACCAGGGCTCAGGTTTGGTCCAGGACCCTTAGTTTAGGGTCCCCTTTGACCCTTCACAGTAGCAAGCCCCTCCCAATAGAACTTCCCTGACTGTGAAGTATTTGGGGAGTGATTAAGGGTTGGTGTTAGCTCAGTGGAAATATCCCTAAGAACAGGGATTCCATGTCCAAGCCATGTTTGGAGGTTGAAGGGCACATTTCCATGTCTCTGACTCAGGTTATTTCTGAGTAGCCATTAAAAAAATCTCCCAAGGGACTTGCTGGTCTTAGACTCTTCTTCCTTGCTATCTGCCTCACACACCTCCTCAAAATTATTATTGTTGCTATTATTATTTTTATGCATCTTTGATCACGTGACAGCCCAGCTCAAAGACCTTCAGTGGCTCCCCCTTGCCTCTTTTTGTTTTAATTTTTATAACATTTCAAAATTAATCCAAGAGCCTTAACCGGTTTGGCTCAGTGGATTGAGCATTGGCCTGCGGACTGAAAGGTCCTAGGTTCAATTCCGGTCAAGGTCAAGGGCATGTACCTTGGTTGCAGGCACATTCCCAGTGGGGGTGTGCAAGAGGCAGCTGATTGATGTTTCTCCCTCATTGATGTTTTTAACTCTCTATCCCTCTATCCCTCTCCCTTCCTCCCTGTAAGAAAATTAAAAAAAAAAATCAATAAAATAAAATTAATCCAAAAAGACCAAAATATTATCATTACAAAGTGTAATCCACGTCAGGATGATTAAAAAGACATATTGTATTCAAGATCCAGTGTGTTTCAGAGTTACAGCACATCTCAATTTGGAAGTTAAGTTTCATCGGATACACTTAATCTGTATTTAGTTTTCACAATCGAGGATTCACAAACCAAGTTGTCCAAATATACCTTAACATTTTCCAATATCTAAATCAAACATCAGTTTTTAGAGCTGAATTTACACTAATTTAATTGGAATCAAATTTTAAAGAATCCTATTCTTCCTAACACGGAGTAGTCGCCCAGCCCCTTTGTCTTTTAAATTCAGTGCAGGCTCCTTTAACAGGCTTCCTGCACCCTAATTCCTTTGCAGCCTTAGCTTTTGCAACTCCTGGGCATTTTCAACAAACTCAGTCAGACTCATGCAGCCTTCGCCCCACCCAGCCAGCCCTTTCCCCTCTCCGCAGCGGTCACCCCCTCCTCCCAGGCACTGCCCTTCACACCATCTTTGCCCATTAAGACCCTGCTGTTTCTCCAGGATTGATCTCAGAAGCCACTTCTTCCATGAAATCTTTCTTGATATTCTCAACTGTGATCCTGTCAGCTGTGATTTCCCCTTCCTTTTCACCCTTCAGAGCACATTGGAACCTCCAATTAATCCACTTTCACATGCATTCTAGTCCAGTCCAGATGCCCATCTCCTCGGAGCCGATACCAAACTGCCTCACCTCCCACAGCCCCTTTGCCCACTGCCTGCAGTCCAGTTTCCTCTGGTGGCCCCGTGGGCCGCCATGGTTAGGAAGAATGCGAGCATTGGGTTTGGAGTGGATCTGGTTTTGGGGTTCATCACTGTTCTGTTTCTTTGCAAAAAGGAAAAAAAGAAGAGACTAAAGAAGGAAGAGTGCTTACCTTGGTCTAGTCTCCTGCCAGGTTTGCTGCCTCACATTTGACTTTTGCTGCGGCCTCTTTCTGGGGCCCAGAGGAAGAGGCAGGCACGGACATGCGGCTATGCTGTCTTCCTCCCCTGGTCAGCTCTCTGCAGCTCGGAGGGAATAAGTTCAAGGTCCCACAAGATAGTTTCTGAGGGGCTTTGCTACACTCCTGGGATTTCTAGTGGGACTTACTCTGGAGGGGTCCCTCGTGGGGTCCCAGCCCAAACATTTCCTCTCGGATCCTCTCAGCATGAGGGGCAGTGAACACTGGGAGGGTTGCTTCCCAGGATCAAGGCAAACATAGGAATCATATGCTTTGATTAAAAAAAACAACAACAAGTGTGGATCTGGAGAGGGACCAGAGGGAAGCAGTGAGGTCACTGTGTTCTGTGTGGATGACACGGGGTCCACTGCACAGGCTTGGCACCTGCTGCCCAGAGCCACGGACGTGAGGTAGTTGGGTTAGGGATGCGCAGGTGGGAATGCTGCAGCACCAGGGAGAAGTTCAGTCAAGCTTAGCAAGCAGCTCCTCGTCCCAGGTTACAGGGTGCAGGAAGCCACTGCCAAGATAATGGCAATGGCTTAGTGTGTTAGGCAGAGAATTAGACGGTCTAGTCCTAATCTGTCTGTGGGTTAGGGTAGAATCCCGAACAAGGTCACCTCATGGCTGTGTTTTCCATATGCAGGTGGGATTGCTGCCTCTCATTTCTGGCAACCTGGCCAGACGTGAGTATTTTAGCTTCAAGGTGGAAAGAAACACAGCCTTCTTGGTCCTTCCTTCCTCCCTCTCTTCCACCTTCTCTTCCCTTCTCTCTCTCTCCTACCTCCTTCCCTCCCTCCCTCTCTCCTTCCCCCCCCCCCCCCAGATATTTAGAGTGCCCACCCTGCATCAGGAAGACTGAGCAGTGAGCAAAACAGTCCAAGTCCCTGACTCACACAGATGGTAGCAACAGCGAGACACATGAACGTGTCTACAGTACCCGGTAGTGATAAAGGCTCCACAGAGAGAGAGAGGGGTGAGGGGGACAGAGAGGGGCAGAGAGCTGTCTGAGACGAAGCACTTTATCTCCAGCAGCTGCCCCTGCGGGGTGGCCTTTGAGCAGAGACCTGGGCGAAGCGAGGGCGTGCTGGGGAAGCTTTGTGGCACCTGCAGAGAGGAGTCAGCCAGATGAGTGTGCCAGCTGCATGACCCTGGGCAAGGCAGAAGCTCCTGCGAAGCGAACCTCCGTTTCCATGGTTTAAAATAACACCAATAATGCCTCCGTGGCACCGTGCTGGTGTAGCTGGCGTGCACACATGCATGCAGCCTGCAGGAGCCCATGGCATGGGCACGGGTTCTGCTCCTCTCAGGGACCACTCCGTGCTTCAGTCTCTCTCCAGGCCTCTCTCTGTCAGGAAATGCAGGAAACAACCCTCGCCCCTCCTATCAAGGAACGGGAAAGAGCAGGTGAGACAGCAAATGCCAACATGCTCTTTGGACCGGGTCTGCAGAGAGTGGGGGCAGGTGTGAGAGGCCAGCCCTGTGCCGGTGGGCTTGGTGGCACAGACATCAGGCTGGGCACAGATCCCCGAGGAAGACCGTGGGCTTACAGGGAGACAGAGACAGATTTGCAAGCACAAGAGAGAGAGCTGGGAAGAGAGCCAGTCCCAGGGCGGAGGCTCAGCAGAAGGGCGGGCTGGGGTGACCGCCAGGAAGCAACAAAGCAGCAACACAAACAGGAAGCAGGACCGGTGGTGACAGGATGGGGCCCTGCCAGAGCCGGGAAGAGCCGGGGGTGGAGGGGGTGGCTGGCGGGGCGATGGGGTGGGGGGATGGGGAGTGAGGCTGGGGACCTCATCCTAGGCTGGGAAGAGAGGTCTCCCTGCAGGGGATTCCAAGTGAAAATGACATTGCTATGGAGCATCCCGGTAATGCTCCCTCCTTCGTTTTTCTTAAAAACACAACAGAAAAAAAAACACACACAAAAAACAAACAAACAAAAACACAGCCATTTTCTGCCTATTTTGATGCCCCAACCTCTGCTGGGAAAAGGTTTTTTATGTCCCTTTTCCCCAGGTGAACATCCACCTTGTCATTAGGCATCTCCTCCCGCCTGCCAGGACCGGCTGCTGGTTCTGGAGGCCCGAGGGCAGCAGGGGAAGCACCCCGGCCGGGGACTGTCTGGAGGAGCACAGGATCTGCATCTGCCACCCTCCGAGTGGATTGCAGATTGATTCACGGGCCTGCGCCCCCGTGGCCCAAGCCCTTTTTTCCCTCCAGAATTTCCTCGCCGATCTCCTGTCAGTCTCAGAATGGATAGACCCGCCGGAAGCCATTGGGCAGAGTTATGTCTGCAATCACCTCTCTAATTCTTGCGTGTGGGTGCCCATACATCAGGAGGGCCCAGGCGGAGGGACCATGGGGCGGCTTCATTTAGCACCACGATAGGCAGGCGCTCGCATGCCAAGGAGCTCGTGAGCTTTGCAGCCACCAGAAAAAATAAAAAAATAAAATAAAAATGAGAAAGCCCCTGCACGGATGCCTGCCTTGCGCTCCGGTGGCCCAGCCCGGTGCACAGGGAGACGGACGGTTCACAAGAGGTTATTCAGCAGATCCCAGAATAAACCCCAAGGTGACGAGCACGGACGACGGAGGAGCAGATGTCAGGAGACGGAGCGCCGTTTTTGGAAAGCCGCCGAGATGTTTAGAAACGGGGCTTTCTTCTCGCCCGAAGCCTAATGCCCTTTCAAAATGCAACTTCCCCGATGCCACCTGCATCGGCTGAATGCCAGCGCGGCCACGGGCACTGGGAATGCCCGGGCGGGCTGTTCCGGCACACACACACACACACACACACACATCACAGACCGCTTCGTGCTTTCCCGCAGCTGCCGCCCGGCCCGGCCCGGCCAGGTGAGGAGCCGGGCCGCTGCGCGGTTGGCTCGCGCCGTCTCATCCCCCGGCAGATCTCGGCATTTAACTGTAATTAAGATTTATCGTTCACCGGCTCCGCAGGTCAGGGCAGGCATGACAATATGGGTGCCTTTTCTGTTTGCCGGTAACACGTCTGCCTGGCAGGAGGAGGCCTCCGCGCTCTCAAGCAGAACCCGCCAGACGCGAATAGAATAGCGCGTCCTCACGCAGGACCCGCTCGTTCCCGGTTTTAATCAGACGCCAGGGGAACGCGTGGAGGGCGGGCGGGGAGGCACCGGGGAGACCTGGTGAACTGCGCTGCCGCTTTTGCATCCGAAGGGTGCGGGCTGGGAGCCAAATCCATTACTGCCCATCTTCTGGGCGCGGGGAGCGGGTGGCCTGCCTGGTGTGGGAGGCCCCTGGCGCCTCGGTGCTGACAGAGGCTCTGAGGAGGCTGGGACCCGCGGGTCTCCGTGGCCCCTCCTTGCGAACCGGAGGAGAATCATCCTTCATCTCTCTCTCTCTCTCTCTCTCCACACTCAAGGATGCCCTTGGACCGAGGCAGGCGGCCCGAGGAGGAGGGAGGCGGGGCTCGGCCGTCAGCGGCCACTCACCTGCTTTTACAGGCTGTCTGCCCGGCCGCCCAGGTGACCCCCACACAGCGGGGGTGCAGGCGCCGAGCAGACACATGAAAAGGGCGGCTCGTCCCCACCGCTTTAGGAGGAGGCAGCAACGCGGAAGCGTGATGTCCTTCAGCCTCCCGGCATCTATAATTTATTATATATTATTGTTTGCCCTCCGTGGGGTGTTTTTGTCGGCGCCCGGTATAAAATAGGAAAGCATTACTCACACGGCCCGGAGGTGTGAGCTCCGAGTTGGTCTGTGTCTCTCTTTCCTTCACAGAGGAGGGGAAAGGGAAAATATAACCCCTTGGCTCTCCTGTTGTAGACGACAGAACACGATTTTGTATATAATATGATGAGCAGGTCTTTGTAGCTGTACCCTAAGCTGTATAGCTTTCCGCTGGCGGCTTACAAAAATCCATGCCACACTTTAGGAAAACGGGAAGGGCAAGCGAGTGAGAGAGCTGTGTGGCTCCTGTTTGGTGCTGTTGTTACTGGAGCTGCCAGTTCGGGGGAGTTGTGGGCAGGAAGGGGGGCTTCTGTGCTGCCCTTGCCCGGGACTTCCCTGGTTCCCTGACAGCGAGAACGTTTGTTTTTCTCTTTCCCCGAGAAGGACCTCGGAGGTCCTAGGACGCATAAGGGGGCTTTTGTTTGGACTCTCGGAGAAGGCTATACAAGCAAGCCTCTCTCCCAAAGGCACAAGGAGGGAAATGGATGTGAAATTAATGGCAATGGTGGATAGAAACAAAATCTGAAAGAAAGGTTTAAAAGGAACCCTCCCACCTATTAGACCCACGAAAGGAGCTTTTATCGTCCCAGAGACCAGATTCCGAATGTTTGGGCATCCAGTTCCACTCCAGGGATGCTGAGCCACAGAAGGGGAAAGTTATAACGGAGGGAGGGTTATTCTGTTAATTGGATTCAGTTGCTGGGGTGTTTCCAACCACTGAAAGGAAAGCCAGTGCCCCGTCCCACAGAACTCACTGCTGCCAGGTTACGTCAACATGTAAATCCCAAGGACACTTGAGACAGGCTCAGGCAGGTTCATGTACGTCTCGCAGGGAGCTCCCTTGACCCTACAAGGGAGCCTGGTTTACGGAGCCGGGGAACTTTGGTCCTCGGCGATGCCCTGCATGGTAACCTCAGGAGAGAGAGCGGGAACAGTCCCTGCCAGCTCCCCGCCCTGCTGATCCCAGCGAAACATTTATGAACTCAGGCCTCAGCCCCATGGGTGCAGCGGTTTGCAGAAAAGGACGCTGCAGCCGTGAGGGGACAGGATGGTACCGAGCCCTCTGCTGTCTGGTGCAGACAATGGAGGGAGGAGAGGGACGGCGGTGGTTCCGGACAGGTGGGAGCTGGAGGACAAGCCCTTGCTCGGCTGGGGAGGGCTGTGTGCAGGCAGCGGATCTCAGGAGCCTGTGAGTGATCGCAGGAGACAGATCCTGCGAGCTGGGCTGCGGCAGGATTCCAGGCCCCGGAACGCCTCCCCGGGAATCACGGCAATCTGGGAGATGGAACGGGGTGGTCGCTGAAGGGGCAGTGGGAAAAAGGCCAAGGAGAGGACAGGAGGGCCCGGCTGCAGGTCAGCATAGCTACTTGGAGTTTCAGGGCGCGTAGGGTTCTCTAACACAGTCACTCGTTCCCCAGCTAAAACCATAATTATTTGATCACAGTCCTTGGCATTTCAGCTTTGTTTTTGTTAAAGAGTAATATGTGCCCATATAAGTCACCATATTTGTAACGGAATGTTAAAATGTGAGGGATGATTCATCAAACAATGCCTATAATAAAGATGAGTGGGTCAAAACACAGCGGGGGAAGCCCATTGTTTGAAAATTTTATTTTATTTTTAAAAAAATATTTTTATTGATTTCAGAGAGGAAGGGAAAGAAAGAGAGAGATAGAAACATCAAGGATAAGAGGAAATCATGGATTGGCTGCCTCTTGCACATCCCCTACTGGGAATCGAGCCCAAAACCCAGGCATGTGCCCTTGACCGGAATCGAACCCGAGACCCTGAAGTCCACAGGCTGTTGCTCTATCTACTGAGCCAAACCAGCTAGGGCTGTTTGCAAATTTTAAAAGTGTTTCTTTTAAAATGTGTTTTTTATTTTTAAATTATTTTTTATTTTTCAATTACAGTTGGCATTTCACATTAGTTTCAGGTGTACAGCGTAGTGATTAGACATTTATGTAACTTATGAAGTACCCACCTGTCCCAAATCTATTTTTTAAATTGGAGAAGAAGGGACCATGGAATAATGATTATTTCCTGAGACAGTAAGAACTGTGAATTTCCTTTCTCCAGGAGGAGAGTACCTT